ACAATGTTCATAATTAGACTCGTACAATTCGACACGCCGCAAATTATGCGTTGATAGACATTGTTGAAATAATTGTCTCTTATGAGCTAACGTAGACGAGCTAATAATGCAAACGTTTGCGACATTCATCTGCGTGTATTTGAACAACATCCGCACAATTTGCGACACGTTGAATTGTACGCCGCGCCGGTGTGCATAGCATCTTACGCTAGTTGCATACACACCGTACACGTGTTTCGATCACCAAGTGACCACGATCAGTTTGATCGTCCTCTTGAAGATGATCACTTGGTGATCGTAACACGCGTCGAGGTCTTTAAATAACTGCTTGGTGTTGGGAAAAACTCCAGTAATATTCATTACAACACCAAAGGTTCCAAACGGTGCATTCTTATCAAATCGAAGTAACAAAGAGAAGCTCATCAATATGCTATTCGGAAAATTACGAGTTGTTGATATCACTACCAAACATGCCAGAGATAATAAGGATGTATTCATTATTGAAGCAGCAATTGAAGAATCAAAACCTGAAAAAACCGCAGTTATAATAGGAGAAGATATTGATTTCCTTGTCAATTCAATTGGACTCACACAACTTTCTTTAAAAAATTACGGCAAAGAAAATGCAAAAACAAAAATACTTTCTTTCAAAAGTTTTTATATGAACCCTCGTTAAAAAACACATTTTGTTTCTGTACGATACTACTTCTGCGCTTTTTAAAAAAAAGTAAAAAAACATTTTTGAAAGCATTTGAGAAGCTGCCGAATTTGGAAAAATTTGAAGCAGCATTTGAAGAAGAATAGAAGAATACTGACCTCAATAATTCTATAACTACATGGGCAAGTAAATAAACTGATAATAAAAAAATAGATACGTAAGTAAAATTATTATCATGCTTTCTTCTTTCCTTTGGAAGATTCCCACATTCTTTTGTATCAAGATGGAATAGTAGAAAGCCAAAAACTTTCTGTCCCAAATAATGTTATAGGTAATAAGAAATGAAAATTATTCATAACCATAATTAATAAACTTTATATGGCATTCATCGTTTGTATATTATTCACGGGACAGTCTAACATTTTCCGTGAAATTGTCTATAAGAAAGCGAAAACCTTCCTTTGTTATTCTTTCCCAAAAGGAACAGTTAGTATTATCACTGGCCTCAGAACACCAGCTTCAATAAATGTGTTCAATTATAATGACACCCAATAAATCACTGTCAAGCTTTCACAAGCTTGCGAGGACCCGGAAAGGTTCTTAGACCTCTTGTCCATTGGAAGCGGAAAGTTGCGAAATGCGAATACATACCAAGGTCATTCGAACGTTCCTTATCTATTTGGGTTTCAAGTAATTATTGCTACCATTGTTTGAATGGTTTGGAACTATGCCCGTCTGTGTTATTCTCAAATATTTATTTTACGATCAAGATTCGGGCATGTTGAACTTTCATCACACAAAAAGTATTTTTGTGTTTTTAATCGCCGGTAACAGATTCGAGGATTTGTTATCTTCGTATTTGAAGATAAACTTGACGAGAATGATATTAAGTTGTAAAATTTTTATTAAAACAACGATAAAAATAAAATAAATATAACAATAAAAATTAATNCACAACGCCTTGACTTCACTGCACAACAAAAAAACTTCACCAAACAACAACCAATAAAAAAAGCAATTAATACGTCATAGTGGTGGGGGGAGGCCGAGAATCAGCTGTAAACAACTACTCGTTTAGTTGCTGGCTAATATGGACTATGCGTCCAACGGCCACAAAAAAAAAAAAATATCGAAAAACGTATAGGAAACGAGATATTAGGTCATTTCTCCGTTCATTCGACGACCTATCATCTATGGGCTTTTCGTGTCACACTCGTAAGTTGCAGTAAAGCATTTTCTGTATGTAAAGTCATGCAACGCCGCTGCCGCTGTTTACATATCTCATTCGTTGTAACGTCCTTCTAACCTCCCAGATGTGTATCCTAGTGTCAACAGGGTCAACAGAGACTACCAAATTTTGATAATTGACAACGGCCATCCAACCGCGCGCTTCACCCATTTTACGGTCGCTATTATCGTCCTATCGTCCTGATTCAGTAAGCAATCGATCAACACCCGTTCTTTGACGAAACGCAAGATCTGCCGAAAACATCGCCGCTGTCTGTGAGAGTCTGGAGGAGAATCCGAGGCAGTCGATTTCGCATCTTCCACAAGAACTCAGCCTATTGCAGACTACAACTTGGCGAATTTTGCATTGTGACCCATGAACTGGGGGTATGTTCGTTGAATGGGCCCTGAAGCAATTGACAACTGACCCTAAATTTTAATCCAAAAGTGACACAGGCCAACAAAGAAAAAGGTTTTTGATAACTTTGAGAAATTGACTTTTTTATATCATTTAAAATCTGTACGGTACATGGTAAAATTAATGAAACACTATGCTAAATCACTATCATGGTTTTTATTTACAGTAGGTTACTTGAAATAATGATACAGTGTTGTAATGTAGGTTTTACTAGTCAGATGGAATTGGTTTTTACATCCTTACTCGTTTTTTTAAAGTATCTTGTGTAGCTTTTCCTGTGCTGAGTCGCTTGTTGAGCTTCACGGTGAACATTAGATCACCGTAGTCTCCCATCTTTTTGATATTCCAGCGGCCCTGGTAACGTTTTTCCATCAATTTGATATCTTGGTGAAAATGCTCACCCTGCTCCCCTCTAACATCTCCCAAATTTTCCGGAAAGTAATCAAGATGACTGTTCAAGAAGTGGACTTTCAGGATCATTAAATATCCTAGCTTCGTGAAATTCTTTATCATGTTAGCTACAATGGTACGATATTTTGGGTGTTTTGCATCTGCTAAGAAAGATACCCATGCTTCTTTCTCATGTATGGTTATTGTGGTTTCAAAGTTTACGTCGAACATCATTTTTCGAATGTCGGGTCCTACAAAGACGGCTTCTTTAAGTTTAGTCTTTGAAAGGTTTGGAAATTCCTGAGAGAGATATTTGAAACAAGGTCCATCTTAAGGCAATGCCTTTACAAACTTTTCATGAAGCCTAACTTCATGTTAGGTTTTTGCGAAGAATGTTCTTCTCGCCGGGTTTTAAAGACTCCCTCACAGGCCAGTTCTTTCTGCACCAATATTGATCCCTTGCTNCAGTTGGTCTCCGTTAGTGTACGGCTGCGTTTGTTTTTTATTTAATTACTCGGACGGGATGCCATGACGGACCGGGACAGAAAAATATTTCGGTAAATCGTTTTAGTGTTTCTTGATAATATTTGTTATTTGTGTATAAAACAGGCACTATTGTATTATAGCAGTGCTTTTTGGTAATATTTTTAATGTATTTTTAAAGTGTTTTTTTTTTCAATTGCAAGCTGTTTTCAGGTTTTGACTTTTCGGTAAGTTTTTTTTTCCATTTATTATGGATAAGTTGGACGAAATTAAAAAATCTGACGATATAGTCCATTGGTTGCTGACAAATAATTTCGAATCTTTATCTTATGATAATAAATTTCACATTATCAAAACTCTGGGAAGGCCTCAACCAAATTTGATTTCCATTAAAGCGTCAAATAATCGACAAAATCGAGGATTTAATATTAGTTGGTACGATAAATGTGATTGGTTAACCGGCTCCATTAAACAAGAAAAAAATTTTTGTTACCCCTGTGTTTTATTTTCCGTACAAACCGAATACCATACGTGGTCTAAAATAGGATACTCAAATTTAAAAAATTTCCCTCGTTCTACAGAAAAACATTTTAAATCTAAGGAGGATATATTTTCGTCTTGTAAATTAAAATAGTTTAGCAAACAAAATATGGGTTAGGGAAAATTGGTCGAATTTAAAAAGACTCATCCATGTTACGATTTATTTGGGTTCCCAACAATTAGCTTTTCGCGGACACGATGAAACCAAGGATTCGATTAATCGCGGCAATTGCAAGGAAATTTTAATGTTATAGGGCAAATATGATTCACAATTTGGCACTTTTTTAAACGGTAGCGTTTTTTCGGACACCTCAAAAACCATCCAAAATTAGCTTATGGACAGTGTGGCATATATTATTAAGGAGAATATAAACAAGGAGATTGAAAGTGTTTCTTTTTTGCATGGGAAATTGATGAAACTACTGATATTACCTTTACATCACAACTTTCAATCGTTTTTAGCAAGAAAACTGTTATATTAGAAGAGAAAAGTATTATTTATTGACCAAGAGGAGTTCATTATATTAAATAACTCAAAGACAACCCTTTTTCCGTGTTTGTGTTTTTTCAATGGTCAGTTTTATACGTATAATTTTCGGCAATACACAATTTTGTTTGCATTTATGCAAATATCACGTATTTTGCTTTAAATAGGTGCAGTACCCCAAAAAATTTTCGCGCCTCCGGCGGGCTTTTCTGTGTATATATAGTCTTTATGACTTCAGCCTTCCCTGTTCTCAAATGCACGAGCCGTCACTGCATTGGAAAGCACTATAGGTCGATGATTACCAACTTCTTTTGGCCTGAATTAGATGATCTGGACACCAACAACATGTGGTTTCAACAGGACGGCGCTACTTGCCACACAGCATATGTCACATTGTTCTGCACGAGCGGCATGGTCATCTCACGTGGTGGTGATGTGAATTGGCCACCGAGATTGTGCGATTTGAACCCGTTAGACTTTTTCTTGTGGGGTTTTCTTAAGTCCCAGGTGTATGCGAGTATTTCACAAATCACAGCGGTCCTCGAAGCCAACATAACCCATGTCACCGATCGGTCAAATTCAGCCTGGTGTATGCACCAGAGTCGTGGAAAATTTCAGGTTTCGGATGCGCTCCACCCAGAGAAGCCGTGGCGAATATTTGAACGATGTTATATTCCACACATAATGGCATCAACAGGTCTTTCAAACTAATATAATATTTCGATGATATCTCACACAAACGTCGTTTTATTTAAACTTAAAGATAGGAAGCGTGAAAAATCCTATATAAATAGAAATGCCTTTTCTTGACTCAATATCTATCCAAAATTTTAATGAGATTTTCTTTGATTTCAACGATAAGTTAGTTAAAATACGAATGTTAGTTACGCTTTTCAGTTGATACATTCATTTTATTACAGTTTTAAAGTGTTTTTTTTAGGTTACCATGTATCACTGGGACCATCCGAGAAGCCTGGATATCTTGGGAGGATGGAATCACCCAAAAATGGTAACTTACATGAGAGACTACGCTGACACTCTATTTTTCCACTATGGAGACAGAGTTAAAACTTGGATAACTATCAACGAACCGCATAGTGTCTGCGTAGTATTAGCACAATATCTGGCTGCACGTGTTGATAGTACGTTTCCACTCGGTACTTCTGAATATATGTGCGCACATCACATGTTGTTAGCGCATAGTGAGATATGGGGCCTGTATCAGAGGAAGTATAAGAGGACACAAAGAGGTGAGTTCAAAATGCGGTAGCCGGGCGGTTCGATGGGGGTGCTTTGTTCACTCTCTCAATCGACCGATGTGTGAGTCGGTGGTTCAAGCCGCAGGGTGAACGATCGATTCTCACTTGCCATCGTCCAACCTGTGTTAGAAATCACACGTTAAAAGGTAAGAGACCTGGTTAGTCCTCAGCTCGCACAAGTTTTCACTTCTGGTTCACGGATAAACATATATTTAAACATAACCTAAAAGATGTCGTTGTGAAAAATGTCTGACCTCAGTCGTGTAGGTACAATTCAGCCCTTTAGTGAAGTTCCTTCTTGAACAAATCTCAAGACAAATGAATGCACTGCTCTGGTTTTCTCGAAACAAAGTTTTTTGGTATTAGGAAAAAGTTAGAGCTCAGAAGTTAGAGAAAATCAGCAAACGTCGCACATTTGGTTATGACATCACCTGTTTAAATAATTGCTACGTGAATATTGTGTTCAGTGGTGAAATAATTAGACATGATTCAGACGGACGTACAATCAATGCACTTCAAATTCTGATGTTATTGAAATATATTATCATATACGAATCTATGAAAGACGTAAACTTTGTTGTTTCAACCTGGAATAGTTGACTGAAACTTCTTGTGAATTCTTTTTGAATTCAACCAAGATACGAGGGTGGTCACAGAAGTACCCAGCCCAACAAAGAAAACACAAACATTTTGAAGAAAAATGTTTTTATTTTTCAATATAATCTTCTTGCTGCTCTATACACTTTTCCCAGCGACGTTCAATAAGTTCGATACTATTTTCATTACACGCTTTATATCAGCTTCACCTGTATGTATGTATGTTTGTTTGCTTGTAGCTTTCAAGTTCGACATCTGTATTGACAGAATTATCGGCATTATTGCTTGTTTTATTCGCGAGCAGATGGCGCTGTATGTAACCTTCTTGATAGGTTGTTCAGAAGAAAATCAAAATAAAAAACATATCTTGAGAATTATAGGTGAATATTTGAAATATCTGAAATAACAAATGGAAATAAAAATTAAAAAGGATAGCTGAAAATAACAATTATATCATGAAATGTGAATAAAAATAAATTACAATAAAATAAAAATCAAGCAAAAAATTGAACAATGGAAATGAAATAAAAATCAAAAGATTTCAAACCAAGTTACTTCACGACGTTTCGATTGTTAGTATCCAGGGTGATGACTGGACTTATTCCTCCGAGAGATTACTATTTTTAGGTATTTTGAGTGCTTTCACCTATTACCTCTTTCCTCTCTCCACTTCACCGGTCTAGCAGGAAATGTCCGTTTGGTTTCCATATGTTGCGTATCTCTGCGCTAGCTTGACTGATTGCATCGTTGGACACCATGTATGCAGCTCCTTTGAATTTTCTCCTATACCCGTGTTCCTCCCTGTGGATAATCGCAGCTCGGGACTACTTGATGATATGTTGATGGGTTCAAACATGCTCTGCTATTTCCGATTTGCTAGTTTTTCCTAACTGTGTGTGTTTCTTGTGCTCGGCAATGCGGATCTTCAATGGCCTCTTAGTTTCTCTGATGTAGGATTTGACGCACTCACAAAGTATCCGGTGAATGCAATTCTTGGAATCGGAGTCCGCGTTTGGTGGCCTACTTTTCGTGAGGCTGCTATGGATGGTGTTTCCAGATCTGAAGAACGTTCTGGTTTTGTACTTGGACCCAATTCTTCTTACCCTTTCCGACAATCCTCTGATGTAGGGAAGTACAAACACTGGTTGTGAAAGCTTCTTTTTCTTGCAAGGCTCTTGCTGTATTGTAGCCAAAGTTTGTTCTACCAATACTTTGAAATAACCATTCCGTTGAAGATCTTTTTTGATGATGCCTGATTCCTTCTCGAGACCTTCCTACTAAATTCTTGGTGATTTCTTTTTTTGGTAAATTAATGGTGATTGGATTCGTGATTCAGATACTCGCCCATGTGAGTGAGTTTTTGGTATACAGATCTTTCCCACTAAATGTCGGTACTCTTCACCAATATCTCTAAGAATGGCAATTCGTTTTAGACTTCTTTCTCCATTGTGAAGGTAATGGAAGGTCTTACGCTGTTGACGTGATACATAAAGTTATCTAGTTCTGTATTCCCATAGTTCCATATTATGAAGGTGTCGTCAATTAATCTCAACCAGACTTCTTCAATTACCATATGTATGTTACCCAACCAGCAAAGTTGTTTCATGATTCCATGGTATTTTATTAGTATTTTATAATTACTTCCAAAATGCTAATTGATTGTATTAGATGATCGGTGAACACAATACAGTTGTATGCAATAAAAGTGTTTTATAAATTTGTCATGGAAACTTCCATTGAATAAAATTAAAAAACCGTTATAAAATAGACAGGAAATTATCACAGAAACGTTCTCACAACTAACTTATAAAACATATTATCCTATAACAGTGAATAGTTTTGTAGTAGTTTTATAGCACTTTTCTGTGAGGTTTGTATGATATTCATAAAACTATCTCAAGTTCATTCTATAACTGCTTTCTGTATCTTTAATGAAATTATTTTATTGGAAGGCTTTGAAACACAATTTGGTTTTTATTAGCATATATTAATGATAATTTCCCAACTATTTCGTAGTATGGTACATTAACTACAATTCCAAAACAATAAAATAATTGTTATAAAATCAAATTTCTTCTGATCAACTGTCATCATTTTATGTTTTTTCTATTTGTTTTTGAACCANTATGACTGGTGAAAGTGGCGATCCCATTGGCAGTCCCCCATCTTGTGTAAAGAATTCGTTCACAGCATCCTAGTAATTCCATGATTAGTTTTATACGTTCTATAGACGTAATCATAGGAACTGATGTAATTCACCATGAAACATTTTCAACTACCTTCAAACAATACTATATCAATGATGGGAAATTCGAAATGGAGAAGCTGTATACAGTTATATATTTACAAAAAAATTTATTTTATTTGAGGAATCTAAAAATGGCACCACTCGATCAAATACATTTCGCAGCCTCGCGTATGAAGTGTTTTGCTACTAACCTAGAGCTCTGTACCTACCGTTTGTGAATCGGATTGGACGTTTTTCGAATAGCTTTTTTGTATATTAATATAGACGACGCTTAAAGAAAAATGTAAGCCCACTGTAACTCAGAAACTCATGTTTGACAAGAAATTTCAAAAACACACATCAATTTCGATATAAAACTCATACACAATACCTCAATTGATATAATGATAGCCATATTTCATTCAATAACATGGTGAGGTGATAAATGAAAGAATTGTTATCTAGCTATCAACTATCTGATGAGCAATGAAAATTATTGATAGTTATGTATTTTATCAATAATGAACAAACCTTATACGACTCGTTTTTGACCAGGACTACCGGTTGACCTAAATGATGCTCTAACCGCGCGCTCTCCGTATTCTATCTCGAAAACGATTCTCTACAATGAATATCGAAAAACGTATAGGAAACGAGATATTAGGTCATTTCTCCGTTCATTCGACGACCTATCTATGGCTTTTCGTGACACACTCGTAAGTTGCAGTAAAGCATTTTCTGTATATAAAGTCACGCAACGCCGCTGCCGCTGTTTACATATCTCATTCGTTGTAACGTCCTTATAACCTCCCAGATGTGTATCCTAGTAATCTAGAGGGTCGACAGGGTCAACAGAGACTTCCAAATTTTGATAATTGACAACGGCCATCTTGTTGAAGCTACATCTATCGAATTGGTTGTTATTGATTGAGTATGTTCTTCTAAATCACCATGGACTTATACAGCATTCATCAACACGTGCAAATGATAATTATTGTTTGACCAAAATGTGTATTTTGTTCCGGCAACGTACCGCGCGCTTCACCCATTTTACAGTCGCTATTATCGTCCTATTGAACGCTAGCTTGGCTGAATACATTGTTGGACAACATGTATGCGGCTTCTTTCAATTTCCTCCTAATCCAATGTTCCTCCCTGTGTATGACCTCACCTGGGGCCACTCGATGTTATGTTGATGGGTTCAAACATGGATTTCGTGGGGCTGCTATGGATAATGTTTCTGGATCTGAAGCAAGTTCTGATATTGTACTTGAATCCAATTCTTTTCATCCTTTCCGATAATTCTCTGATGTAGGGAAGTGCAAGCACTGATTGTGACGGCTTCTCTTCCTTGCGAGGCTTCTGCTGTCTTTTAGCCAAAGTCTGTTCTACCATCGCTTTGGAGTAGCCATTCTGTTGAATATCATTTTTGATGATATCTAGTTTACTCAGAACTGAAAACCCGGAATATTGATGAAAGGAAATCACATGCAGAACTCATGTTCACAATTTGAATCTGAGAGGAGAAAATATGATTGATATCCCTCCACACAAAAAAGAAATGTTTAAGTCTTGCTTCTCCTACCAAACTGCGTCTGTATGTAATTCACTCAATATACCAAATTTCTTTCATTTTTAAATCAGAGAAAATGCTACTCTCACAGCAGTCGCTTGTTGAAATATCCTTCGTCCATTTTCGGTGGTGTTCGATTTTATTATCTCTGGAAAAAATTTTTCATTAACTCGTATTGATTTGTAGTGTTTTGATCTCTTTGATCTCGTATCCTTTGTCATTGCTATTTATTAACATTCATATTTGGTTTACTGACAAACAATAAGCAATTTATTATTATCATTATTTTAACCGGAGTTTGCGCTGATCAGGCCCTATCCCTTGAAGCCCTGATACATTCGAGAAGGCGCGCCAGCAATACCAATCCACGACCACTCCCCACCAGTGGGTTAAGTGATCATTGGGTCCGAGAATAATGTGCCCCGAAATAGCGCAGTGAGCCAAGAATGACAGCCTTCTGCATTTGACCGGCTAAAATGTCTGCCTTAGTGCGGCAAGCCGGCATGATTTTGAGATTCGAGAATAGAGATGGCATCATTCCACCAAGGACTACAATGAGAACAATCATCTTGATAGAGTGGTCTGGATAGAGTCTG